TCATCATCATCATATCTAAAGAATTTGTTGCCAATCTATTGTCAGTGCCATACAAAACAAATTGTATTATTTTATTAATTATAAAATTATAACTTTCATTTCATAGGCAAATTATGGAATGTACCTGCAACAATACTGCAGTTAATAAAACTACAGTTTTGGTCTTAAAGTAGAGTCTGGCCTTTAACCATCTAAAATGAAAATATGTATGTAACGGAGGATCTACTTCAAGTTTCATAATATGTAAGAAGTTATAGACATGTTAACTAATATCTTTTCTTACAAGCAATATGAAGATAACAATTGTAATTCAGCATTTATTGAAGGTAGAAATTCCCTTTGTGAGCCATACCAGAGGTTTGTTTTGTATCTACCTCTGACAGTAGGCAGATAGAAGCATTCAGGAAACAAAAACACACAGCATGGTTTAGATAACTATGCTGTCCCCTTCTTGTTCAATACCTAATAATACCAACTTTTCTGCCTGTGAACATGGAGGATCTATTTCTGACTTTATGTGCCATAAAGATACATTCAACTTACAGTATAGGAACCTTATTAGGGTTTTCAAGGTAAGTGGTATATTTAAAGTAAGCAATTTTACCAATGCCATCCCCTGCCAATGAGTTTCCATGGCCAAGTAGGGATTTGAACCCATGTCTCCTAAATTCTAATCTGCCACTGTCTACTACAGCACACTTGGTACTTATCTGTTTCTGACTACTACAGTTCATAAGAACATACAGGTATAATTTAACACTTATTAATGGGTATATAACTACTAAAGTAAACTAAATCAGATGCCAGCATACCTTGTGATGAATTATTTCATAAACTGCATGAAAATATACTGAGATGTCAGCAATGCACACGTGAAGTTTTTATAGATTTCTTTTTGCCTTACAATGACTTTGAATGTGATGCACTTTCTTTTCTTTATTTGTATCAATAGTATTACAAAATTTAAATTTATGGATGTATATCAAATATATGTAAAATTAAAAACGAATTAAAATGTTGATTTTAATTAACTGAACAGAACTGTATCTGTTACTGTATTTTTTAATTATTTAGAGTGCAAAAGGGCCAGCCTGAGATTGCACCATTTCCAATAGTTTTCCATAACCTAAAAAAACCTGGTTTCCATAACCTAAAAACCATAAACTGTCATTCTGTCTCGACAAGTTATGGGTGAACAAAAATACCACTGGTTCCAATACATATATACTTCGTGTTACACTGACTACTTTTCAACCATTGGGTATGAAGGGTGATATGAACAGCCAGTTTTGTAATTAAACAACTTAGAAGTTTCACATCTAAGAAGAAGAAGGCTTACTGGTGATACTGCTTGTACATACTTGTCTTGTATCTTTACTAATATTTTTCTTGATAAAGTGAATGTCCACACAGATGATATTATTAAGAGTAAGAACTTTTCCATTCTGCAGCTTCAGTTTGATGCTAAGATGTTACAATTTTGTTTTCACTGCTGCTTTAAAGTTTGAAATGGGGCTTCAAAATAAATGAAGCCACTGAATCAAGTAAACTAACATGAGAAGCCCTAAAAAAAAGTTTCGAATACAGTATTAGAAAAGAACAGGAGTCACAAGCGATCTAGAAACTGCAAGGAAAGGCAGTTCTGACACAAAATACTAAGGAAGTACTGTACTTAGACTGTAGGAAGGGCAAATATTTTAGTGATAGTGTCAGATCTAGTCATGTCTACCAAAAGTTTATGCAGTTAAGATTCATCTCCACCAAGCATTTATGCATTCTGCAACTATAAAATTATTGGTATATATTCTGATTTTCACTTCAGTAGTTTTACATCAAGTTAATGAAATTTGGTGGTGAAAACAGGTTGATATTTTCACCTCTATGTAAGCAGCTGCCATTTTGACATTCGTTCATTTTTAAATTCTGAAAATAGAACATAAATAAAATCCCACAAAAAAGGTTTGCATTTTTTTCTCATGGAAATGAATCTCACAAACATTTTGGAAAGGAGATCCCTCTTTCTACCTCCCATTCAATTAAATTTAATTAAATATAAACAAAAGCAGAGTAGACCACAATACAAATTCCATACTCCATCTATGTCTAGATGGGCGGCATATAAATGCAATAAATAAATAAATAAAAATAAATACTAGAGCACTATCTTTATTAAGTCAGCCAAAAAGGCTTAAAAAATGTGCAGATTTTGAACATTATGGATCTTTTCTTCAAGAGAGATGCTCATTCTCCTACTGAATTTTCTGAAAGTTCTGAGTTTACTGTGGGCATCTGCATTTTCTCAGATGAAGGAAAAAACTATTCCCTTTCCAGCTGAGAAGTCTACTGCTGCACTCTGTGAAAACAAACATGATATGGTCTATGTTTGGCATATCTAAGAAGAGGACGGATCCTTGGTTCAGATTTGTGTGAACACCCAAAGAGATCTCCTAAGACAGTTCCCCACCCCATTTCTACAGCCGGTCAATGGCTGAAATCCAGTAGCAAGCCACAGCTAGAGTAAGCCCATTGAAACAATGGAACCTACAGAGTACTTGACTCACCAAATTGTGCCTCACTATTGAATTTCAGTCAATGATTACTGAGTTGGCAATGCTGTGAGACCACGCAGATCGGGGGCTAGGTGAAGAGGAGCTTGTGATAAACCAAACCAAGACTAGGCAAAAGAATTTACACTTCCTGTGCTTTTCTGCAATAATGATACTTACGTGTCCAACAAATTATGATTAAAATATACAGTTAAGTCACCTTTATATGCTAACAGCCATTGAGACTAAGCTGCTTTAATAAGATAGAAAAACTTACAAATAGTTCCAAAAGTAACACTTCCAAATATTAAGGGGGTATGTTTACAGTCAAAATATTTTAAAGTAAGCTGATAAGGTTTTTTAAAAATTACTAGTACCTACATGTTAGGTAATGCAGGTTCTGAAGTTTTATATTATGGAGTGAGCAAGAAGCAAAAATGCTCCAAAGCAGAAATCAAAGCAACAGTGCCAAGTTAAGCTCATGCAGAGCAGCAATTTGAAGAAAGAGTGAGAATGCCACTACATACATAGAAGTGCATTTTGCAAAAGAAAATCCAGTTAAAAACCCAAGAATTAACACATATTAAAAACAACAACAACAAAAACAATGAATAGCTGGATTTCTATACAACCTATTATATAAACTCAAGGTTAGAGATGGGATATATATTTGTCTGGGATGTGGTGGCGCTGTGGGTTAAACTGCAGAAGCCTCTGTGCTGCAAGGTCAGAAGACCAGCAGTCATAAAATCAAATCCATGCGATGGAGTGAGCTCCCGTCGCTTGTCCCAGCTCCTGCCAACCTAGCAGTTTAAAAGCATGTAAACACAAGTAGAGTAGGACACAACTCGACTAAATGTCAAGGGGAACCTTTACCTATATATTTGTCTGACTACAAAGAGCTGCTGCTAATAAGGCCCAATCAAGAATGGGACTATGATGGGTGGTCAAAATACATAATGGTCAAAATCCTGTTTAACACAGTAAATCATACTACAAAATCAATAGAGATTTGATGAGTCACCTCCTTTGTAAATTCTGATTCAAACTGTAAGTTGCAGTACGCCGATGTTAAAGTAAGCTGAAGTCAGAGTAAGCCCATTTAAATCAACAGAACTTACAAACAAATCAACTTATCAAATTTTCATTGATTCAATGGGCCTCCTATAGTGTGATTTACTACACTAAGCAACAGGATTTTTGCCAATATGTTACACTATTGTGCCAAATTTTATATAGAGCTTAGCACTCAACATCTGCTTGTTCCAGCAATTTTTTAAAAACTCGAACTTAAAATATGCAGGCGATTTACAAACAATGTGTAACCAGGAGCTTAAAAGTCAGATCTCCATTACACACTCTTCTGAAGACACTATCTTAAGCAGAGGCCATTTTTTTGTAAGATGCTTTTACCAAATTGCCTAGCTCTTACTGTGCCTGTGCTGTTATTGCAAACTGAAATGAACTAAATGAAATCCATCAATATTTGTTGCTAAATTTGAAGTCCATTTTCTAGTCTGCAAGACACTTTAATCAGTACAATTTAAATCTGGTATCAGAACTTGCAAACTCTAATCTGTCCAGGGAATTTTCCACAGCTAACACAAATTCTGTCTTGCTTCATATTATTTCCCATTGTTAATATGCAATACTGAAATGTGTACTACAAAATATGAATGAAATATGAAATCTGCATTATCAATTTATACTTCACTATTACACTAAACAAATAAAATGTACAAGCAGAAATCCAGGCATAAATTGCAACTGGAATAAGCCCATTGAATCAATGGAATTTACAGAAGAGCTGATTCAAGAAAACCCCACTGATTCAATGACCTATTGAGTTCTAACTCAGTGAATTTCAGCAATTGCTTTGCAAATTGCATCACAGATAAATTAAGGATACTGACCAGAATCCTGTTAGCAACATAAATTTACAGAGCAAATTTCTACAAATTAAGAAGTTGATGTAGACATTTGCTATCACAGACCACTTGCATGACACAATGTCTGACAGCAAATGCCCATGCTAACTTCTTAGCTAATGACAATTCACTGCTGAAATTTAATCTTGTGGTAATTATACTAGCATAAATATGTTAAAGGTTTTAGCTTTCATATGATAACACTATAAGAACATTAATATAAAAGATAAAATACATCTGCTTAGCAGATACATTTCTTCTGTAATTTCTTGATCAAGGGTTCAAGAAAATATTTTATATTGGGAGAGAACATGGTGAAATCTAGACAATGCAGAATATGTCAATAATGAAAAGACTGCTATACTTGGAAATGGTCTTATACACTCAATATAAATTGGACCTGGCCAAGTTAGTATTATTCATATGAAACATCTAATCCCTTTACCATGAAACTGTAAATGCACAGCTTCTGTTTTAAGCCAATTTTTAAAAGCTGTGTTTACAGCATCACTGTAAAGATACTTACTGGCAGAGGTCTGAGGTTGTATACGAGGTATTCCTCCATTTGGCACTTGAAAGTTTGAGTCACTTCTACTGTTTTTCACAGACTCAACTTGGATGTTAGATGTCCTGGACAGGTTTGGAAGACTACGTCTTAGTTTTTCTGTATTGAGGAAAGATAAGAACACCACAACATACCATCTGACGCAGGAGACTGAACTGTAATACGAACTGTGACAACCTGAAGTCCAAAGGACCTGAGGAAAGAAGAGCTGCTACAGATCTGTATGCTAAACATTTCAACTGCCTAATGCTATGTTACCAAAATTACATTCCAAAACAATTTAAAGTCTTTCATGAAGTACTGTGTTTCTCACCTGAAACAAAACTTATTTTAAAATTCATTTTGCTATCTGGCATGAGAGACTAGAGTTTAGAAATAAGTCTGTATTTCTATTGGTCCATTCCTTCAACCTAACTACTGGTCCAGTGGAAGGAAAGAAATTTCTACAAATTTCCCTGAAAATAAGACCTAACCTGAAAATAAGTCCTAGTATGATTTTCAGGATGCTCGTAATATAAGCCCTACCCCCAAAATAAGCACTAGTTAAGTGAAAGCCCACCCTCCAACCAGAAGAAGATGACATGACTGTATTTGAATAAACGTTGATGGTTGTACATGAAAAAAGTAAAGCATCCCCTGAAAATAAGCCCTAATGCATTTTTGGAGCAACTCTGTCTTATTTTCAGGGAAACACAGTACCTATATCTACTGGATTATCTGCATGGGGTCTGTACAAGTACAGCTGCAAAAGTACGATTCCCAACAGTCAAAAGTAATCCTATGCAGACGTCCATGAAGGCACATGCATCAGTGCTTACCACCATAACCCTCTTCCCTTCCAATCCAACATTCATTCACCACAGTTGGAATACAACTTAAAATCATTTTGGCCAGAACATAGAAACTTGTCAACGACCCCCAACAACTAACCCCAATGTAAGACCACTTTCAACATATAAATGTGCAGAGTATTTTTTTTAAAAAAAAACTGTACTAAAAATATTAAAAGCCAGCCAAAGAAAACCCCATAGTCCTTTAAAAATATTAAAATCCAATAAATAGCTATAAATAAAACCACACTGTACATCTAGCTTGACTTAATAAAATCCTTTCAAGAGAAAGCAAACCAAACAAATGAATCTTCAGGGCTCTTTTAAAGACCTTTAATGATGAGGCTTGACATTTATTTCTTAGAAGCACTTTTCTTTTAAAAGGCTGTTTACTATTTTGATAATTGAAAAGAATAACAAATTATAAGCATATTCAGTTGGCCTGAGGCATATATTTAAAAGATAGCCAATCACATCTTTTCAAACACCTCAGAGTACAGAAATAACCAAATTCAATTTCTACAATATTCAAGAAAAGTGGGGCCATAGTTGAAAAACCCTTTCCCTCATGCCTGCCAACCCAGTAGTGTTTACTGGAAGGCATATAAGTAGGACATCAGCTGCAAACTTTAAAAGCTACCTATTTATATGTAGCATGTTTCCTGCTTTGTCATCTGAAGGATACGTCACTGTAAGGTTTTAAATCCTACCACACAGAGATATTACTTGTGTTTCCCTTCATGGTGGGAAGAACAGTTATTTAGCATGTTATTAAATACCATTATAAATTAAATGAGAAAGTAAATTGATTGAATTTGTTTGAATGTGAATTTGGCAGAAACACAATATTTGAATCTGCTGTTGTTTTGACTTATACGTTTGATTATGTGCAGCCCATCTGCATGGTCTTACTTTTTCATATTTCCTAGTACTATAAACTAAGTAACACACACGCTTGATAGGACCAATTTAAACTACCATTATTTTCTCAAAACTTTTCTTGAAAGAAACATACTCAATGTATTTGCAAGACAATAATCAGCAAAAAAACAACACCCATATCTCTTATAGTAACTGCTGTTTGCCAAAAGGTACAACCACAGGATCATTTTTTCTATTAAACCAAGTAGCCATTAACTTTAAATGGATTTACACATAAGTAGATCAAATATATTATTTCTGACATAAAATTAAATGGGAGTTAGTTTGAAGTGCAAAACCGAACTAGATTTAACAATAGCATTCATCAACTTACTTCTGTAAAACATAGCACTGTTTTTATCTTAGATTAAGGAGTATCAGGCACAGTAACAGATGAATCAAGATGAATAGCTGTCAACAAATCAGCTATCTGAGTTAGGAGCGCAGATAAATTTTCTCTTACATTTAATAGACTTGATGAAAAGAAACCAAGCTTCCTTGGCTACTTTTGATACAACTCTAAATTCAAAGATGATTTATATTTTTCAGTTTAATTAGATTAGATTCACATTATAACAACACATCAGTTTTATGTTGACTCCATTTTAAAAAAAACTTTGATAACTTTCTTGTTGGTTGTTGGTGTGTCCCTGCTTTGCATTTCAGGCCAGAATAAGGGCAACAAAAAGAAAAAGTTCAAAGTTAGAGAATGCAAGCAAGGTGGAAGGAAAAGGTGAATGGGACCGAAAATAAGCTTGGTTCATCCTGTTCAGGATAACCAAGGACGCATTTTCGAAAGTAAAAACATTTATTTTAGAAACTAAAAGCATTTATCTAACATCTGCATCATGTTAATTCCTACTGTAGTCCTTCCGTCCCATGCAGCTGTACTTCTACATGGGCAAGATGCTTTCTCATGCAAAAGCTATGAAGTAGCAGAGGAATATGAGGGTGCAAAAGCATGGAAATATAACAGTCAGACAGGTGCCACAGCCACCAACCTTTCTACAGTTTCTACCTACAGTGGATGATAGGTGAGGCTTCTGCCTTGAAACTGTGGATCTCAGTTCCCACAAAGGGGAGAAACTCCCTTTTCCAGCATAGGCATATTAGAATTTATTGAAACAAAGCAAAAGCAGTACAACAACACTGTGTCTTTCATCTGTGGTGCTTTTTCAGATGGAAAAGGAGACAAAAGAGTCCATTTGAGGATATGACATCCAGTACCATTTTCTCCTTTTCTTTCAAACAGCTGTCTATTCAATTCACGGTATATGTACATGCAAGCAAGTATGAAGTATACCAAAACAATCTCAAAAGAAATGACAAGACATGCTGTTTATCACCCACACTTTCTTTCTTTGCTACAATTAACTGACCCATCAAGATGCTAAATCTATACTAGTGTGTCAGGACCACTGCTGTTATTTTGGACTCTTTCAGTCTCCCTTCTGGTTACCTTTCCTGCCCACCCTGAATACTCTTCTTTTAGTCAGTGGCTAGCAGCACATTTGAGAAGGATGACTGAAAGCAGATTGCACAAAAGTGAGCAAACAAATCAGCAGAGAACAGGGGACAGAAACATCCTCCAGACCCTGAAAGGTTAACTTGCATTTCTCAGACTATGTGGATGTATGAAAAAGGAGATTTAATCTATGAAGATTACTAAAGTGCCAATATCAAAATCTCACTGAAAAGTCTATTTTTCTTTGTAGGTCCGTAAGAGGGTGTGGCATTTGCCCAGGTCATTAATATTCGTATGCTATTTGCATAGACCAATGGGAGTGCTAGAGGGGTGGAGGCACAAGGTATAAGAGACTCAGCAGCAGGAGGAGACAGACATAGATAAGGTTTTGAGATGGAGAATTAGAGAGTTTTGGAGTTGGTGGTTGAAGGTGGATAGAGAAGTATGTTTAAGAGTTAACAACATTGCTTGTTCTGTCAACACTATCAATAAACAATTTCTATTTGGTTCTTTTAAAATGAAATATTGTCTGGACATCTATTATTAATAATAGGTATTGTTGATGAAATCAACTGGTGGCAGTTGAGGGACACGTAGCATGAGCTCCTAGTTTGGTGAAATAATCAGGGGCCACGTGGAATCGTGACAGAGGGGCTTTCATTAGATTCTACCAATATATATACAGTATATATATATACAGTATATATATATACAGTATATACAGTATATACAGTATATACATACATATAATATATAATTTTAGGCTTTGATCATGTACAGAAGTTTCAAAGAATTTAACTGGTACCCATGGTTTTTTGAATAACTTCCAAAATTGCAGTATTTTTAGATAAAGGCCACAGAAAATCAAAAAATAAATTAACACCTATACTGCGAATAATGGTTCTGCACAAAATCAATTTCAAATTTCTTGAAATGGCATCATCTGTACCCAACAAGTCTTGAGCACAGAGGATCAAAGCATCATTATTATAATATCATAAAAAAAGCAACCAATGAATAATCAGTGGCTGGTATAGACAAGTGATACAATGGAGAAAAGATAAAACTGCTCCATCCATCTTCAGTAAGTCTCAGTTTCCAAGGCTGACCCTGGTATATATGTGGTTCGTGGGCAACATGCAGCTGAGCCACAGCAGCATTACCTGCCATTTCACTTTTGGCAGGATGTACAGAACTGAAAGCTTTAGCACAAAGCACTGAAGTGAGCAAACATGAACATGAAAACTTTAAAGAAATGAAGCTATATTGCCACCAGAAGTCAACCTCGCTATGCAGTATGCTCCGATCACCAATTTGAAAGCATACCTCAAGATACATAAAGCAGGTGAACTGTACAGAAGGAACAGGAACATCCAACAACAACAGAAAACTAATCATGCCAAATAATGCCTGCAAAATTTCCTGGCGCAGGCTCAGTTTAAAAATGCTCCATAATGTGAGAGTTGTATAGTGAGTACCAAATATTGATTTTACAAATCTCACTAACAAACAGTGAACACCCAAAACAAAGCAAAACCAATGGTGCTGCTTATATACCACCCCATAGTGCTTAAAGCACTCTCTGGGTTGTTTACAATTTGATTATGCAGGCTAAACATTGCCCCTGCCCCCAGTGAGCTGGGTACTCAAGTTTACCAACCTTGGAAGGATGGAAGGCTGAGTGAACCTTGAGCCAGCTACCTGGGATTGAAACTCAGGTTGTGAGCAGAGTTTGGCTGCACTACAGCAGTTAAAACACTGAGCTACAAGGCTCCTAATAAATGATTCATGGGTCATACATCTGGTTACTTACCTTGTGTCACGGGCTTATGATGCAGAAAATGCATGCACACAGTATTGTCTAATTTGAGCATTTATTCTGTTTTGAACTTGGGAGAAACCTACTAGATGATTCAGACAAATCAAAAATTATTTTATTACAATATTCCAGTGGTTTCCAAACTTGGGTCCCCAGATGTTCTTGGACTAAAACTCCCAGAAATCCTAGTCAGCACAGCTAGTGGTGAAAGCTTCTGGGAATTTTAGTCGAAGAAAATTTGGAGACCCAAGGTTGAAAACCACTGCTATATTCTGTAAGCCTTTTCTATACACCTCACCCTCACTAAGATTCTGTGATTTGAAGGCTCTTTTCAGGCACTACACCATTCTTAATTCTCTTCTTGAGCTGGCTAGCCTCATCCCTTCGTTCCCTAAATGATCCCTCAGCATTTGAAGTTACCCAGTTTCTAGTCACTGAGGCTTTTGCACTCTAGTTTTGATATTATCTGCCATTTTATTTTTTGCATTTTTATAGTTGGTGGTGTTGTGCCTTATATATTATGTTTTTATTCCTCCATGTGGCTTTACATATATTGTTCTTCCAAAAAAAGGAAAAGGAAGAAAAAGCAGAATATAAATTGCAAATATACATAATTAAAATCTGTTATTAAACATCTTAATGATACTGGAGTTACAGTTACGTATTTAACTATTCTAGCCACACTCATATTTGCTAAATTTAGCAGATCTGATATGCTGCAAAATGAGCAGCCGAAAAGTAAATTAATAGTCTTGAGGTCATGATAAGAGTATTTTTTTCTTGATGATAAATTCAGTATCTTAGAATTCTATCATTATAAATTTAGGCTGAAATACAGTAGTAAATTGCATTTAGGTACGCCCACAGAATCACCAAGGATTTGGGCAGTCAACTCTTCCAGCAATTCCACTGATTCAGTGGGGCTAACCTTGTTGCAACTTACTACTAGATTTTGGCTAATGGCTGAATCTTGTTGCTTAGCATAGTAAGTCACATCTAGAGTAGGCCCACTGAATCAGTGGAACTTAGGAGTTGACTGATCAAATTCCCAGTGATTCAATGGGCCTACTCTAGTTGCAACCTTCTACACTAAGCAATAAGCAACAGGATTCCAACCACTGAAAAACAATGTACCCCCCCTTCTCTCTCCCATGTATAAGGGAATATTCAACATAGTTATAAAAGGCCAGTGGCTTGCAGGTTTTTCTAAGCAAGCTTATAGTGTGATTTCATGAATTTAATTTCAGAGAGCCAAAAAGTTTCATTATCAATTCTGTTTTCAACAATATGTGGGCAAAAATTAATGAAGGAGTAACAGCTGTTCCTCAAGTACCTAGCTATTATTTTGGTTGCCTTGGCCTTGACCCTCATAACATTGATACTGTATAGCTTGACTGGCTACTTGGCACTAGAGTAATTAAGAAACTATGCAGCTGCAGAATGGCAGTAATGTACATCTCCCTAAAACTAAACTAGCTCAATTATTTTCTTTCTTTACTGATTTCTAGACAATGTGAAAATAATATTTATGAATATGACGTTTTTTCTTGTGTGTTTCTCAGCAAATCAGAGTAATGTCACACTGTATCTTAAATACAACTTATTGAGCAACATATTTACTAGGAGCACATCATCTCTGCTATTTTAATGTTTGGTGGACAAAATTTGAGACAAAGTATTTTACCTTCGTTTTTGACACTGCTAGTCTGTAGATCAGTGGTGTGGCCTTGGAGAGAAAGACGAGGCTGCTGCAATCGACTAATCATAGGTTGGGGTGACACTCGACTATATTCTATACTTCTAGCTGGCGATCGAGATCTAGGAGAATTCCTTGGTGACTGCTTTGGTGAAGGCCGTGGTGAATTCCGTGGTGACGGAGAAAACCGGTTAACAGCTGGATGCACTGCATGGTGGCAGCTGTCTTCTTCATCCTCTAAACTCTGTGCATCAAGTTCCTGGTCACTAAATGTACCTCGTCTCATTGAACTGCATGAAGAACCAGAGCTACGCCGAGAAGCAGTTGCAGCATATTCTTGCCGGAGACCTAATTAAAGTAAGAATGCTATTTAATGTTTATTATCCTCCCAACATCCATTTCCCTTGGATTTCATCACCCATCTCCCCCAGAGGGCAGCTCATTTGGTCACTGAATGCATTATGATAATATGTGTTCTTCAAATTAAATATCTCCAATCTACCCACTGGCATCAAAGACACTAGGTCAGGATTCAAGACCGAAACAGTGCTAGCTTTCTACAGTAAAAAATACTTACTTTCCTCTTGCATCCGGGCTAAAATTTGTACATCTGTTAAGTCATTTAATTTGTAATTTGATCCAATTGAGTCCTCATCCATTTCTGAAGCACTTAATTCACTATCAATAGAGGACTGTGGACTTAGTGGAGGATTTCTATCTGTTGAACTTTTGAAATGACCTGTAAGAAATGACAAAGAAATGAAGGCTTGACCTTTATCTGTGCATATAATTTAATGGGGGAAGGGGAGCATACTAGAAAAAGCAACTTAAGCTAGCTGATATACCAGAGTGGTATAAATATACCAGATGGCCGGGATATAAATCAAATAAATAAATAAATAAATGATACATAAATCCTTTTTCATTTCGTCTAGATATAGATCACTTTTCAATGTGTCAAACAGCATTAACCTTGGAAAGGATGAGGAAGATGAATTAACTAAACTGTTACCAGAGAAACAAAAGTACAGTAACTATGATGAAAAACTATGAAGAAATGGAATGTTCCAGTTTTTCACCCTAGATACTTTAAAATAGGTATCTTTAGGATACTTATTTTTAAATGATCAAACTTTGTAGAACTACTGATGTACTTCAGACCAGTCTTTAGTGCTTGTCTATTATATATTTAAACACTTAATTGATGTATTTAAATACATATGTGTAATTTAAGTTCAATTAATTCATCTTTCATTTCTTGTTTTTAAATAAGAGAAAATTGCCATATGAAACAATATCGCCATAGGTCCAAAATGAATGTGTAAACATTAGACATCGCCCAAACCCAAAATGAAACAAAACTGAAAGATTCACTTTAGCAGATTTGTACAGTCTGTAATTTATCGAGTCTGTAAACGCAAAATAAACACTACTACTACTACTGTCTCTAATGTGTACTAAATGCAATAGGGCAGAGCTTTCAACATGATCAGATTCATAAAATGACTCACTTTGGCAAGTTACTACCTCCTCAGCATCTACCACAATAGATTTACGTCACATTGGGTGAACTAAATTTGTGGATGTTGGGGAGATACCTGCATATGTCACTGTTGCCTAATTCAAACACTTGCATTGAGAAGTGCAGGGATATTAATAGGGATGTGCCATTAGCTTGTTTTTTGTTTGTTTGTTTTTGTTTTTTGAATCCAATGCCCACCCTTCTCCAAGAATTCCCGATGCAGAATTCTGGGAGTTCCAGTCCAGAAACCCATATGTGCAAACACTTGAATTTCAATTACCTGGAAAAGGTTGAGGCCTCCATTTCCTACTGCAATGCTTCCCAGGAGTGTAGGTTTTCAGTTTTTCTCTTTATAAAGTCTAAAGCAGAGGTCCCCAACCTCCAGTCTACGGCCTGGTGCCAGTCCATGGCCTGAGCTGGACCGGGCCACGGAGACAGACCTCCCCCCACGCACTCCCCCCCACTGTCCATTTGCGCCTGCGCCCATATGAGCACTCCCCCACCCCTTCGCGCATATATATGAGTGCCTTGAGCACCGCACTGCCATTTGCGCATGCGCACAAGTGCTGCGCCATCCTTTGCACATGAGCATGTGTGCACCCACACACATGCCCCTGTTCCTTTGTGCATGCGCACGAGCCCACACGCACGAGAGCCGTCCTTCATGCATGCGCAGGGGGGTGCCCTGCCTTCCCCAGCGAGTCCGCAAGGCTAAAAATGTTGAGGACCGCTGGTATAAAGGGCAAGGAGACTACTGCTCTCTGGAAACATTCCAGGAAGTGTTGAAACAGGAAATGAAGGCCCAGAGGGACATCTTGGCCTTGTCCCAGTGAGCAAAATGAAGGTGTTTGCAGAATGTGTTTGTGAGCTGAAACTTCCAGAATTCTGCCTGAGAAATTCTTGGAGAATTCTGGGAGTTGAGCTCCAAAACAACCTGAATGGCACACCACTGGAAATTAACGGGAACAATATAGGTAGTGGAGAAGTGGATGCAGTGCAGTACTTCAGAGTTAGCAGGTTGCTTTTTCTGGACCCATTTATGTGTGTTGCTAATGTTAATCACATGTCATTCTCATTATAGTCCTTAGGCTCTCTTGTAGTTTTTTTTACTGACAAAGATACAAGAAATATATTTTATTGATTTTTAGGAGGCACTATCAGTATATGAAACCTTAATAAATATGCAACTATTTTTCATTTCTGAACAGCAAATTCTGTTAACATGCAAATATTTAAAATTCCATTTAGAATTTACATGATTTTCTCAATGCACATCACTTGCAACTTACAACATATAATTGCACATTACATTCCTTTACCTGCATTGCCAGGAAGTATGAGTTGCTTTACTAAAGGAGGTTTCACTGGTGTGGAGGAAGGAGAGTTGAAACTACTGCTGTATGGGCTGCCTGCATTTGGACTGTAGGAATTTGCGTAGTTGACACTGCTGAAGGGATTACTGTAAAGGCCATGTCTCTTAAGGGCTGCATAAAAGGGCAGAACGTAGTATTTTACCATTGTTTACTTCAAATGCCTTAAAACTATAAGCCTAAATTGAATCTCACACAATATACTTCATTAACCAGTTTGGGAAATTTGGTTAAAAATAGCATAGGCAATTTTTCTTCATTTACAACTTCTCTGTTTTTCAAACTATTAGCAACAAGTGCAGAACATGCAAACAAATACTATACAATTGTTTTTGGTGTTTTATTTTTTTCTATAGCCAGAATCCTGTTGGTGTTCATGTAACTTGCTGAAGCTAATTGTGGTTAACTGAAAAGATGGGCGATGTGGCTTGGTCACATGCCTGACCATATATCTAACCGCACAACCAAGATGCACGCAACATCTTGTTGATTAGCTACAACTAGCTGCAGCAAGTGATGCAAACATCAATAGGAATCAGACCTACAAATCTCTCTTTTACCTCTTCAAAATATATTCAGTTACAGAAAACAGCCACAAAAGTTAACACATGTGCGACTGGAGTGTGTAGAGAATTTCCCTTTCAGTCCATGGGACATAACACATTCCTTTTTGCTGCAACCCAAAAAAACCCACATATTTTCTCAGATAATGTTTTCTACTTCAATTATTCTTTTTTCCTCCATTACTTGTCAATCACAAAAAGATCTCACTTAGAATTGTTTCACAGAACATTAACAGAAATAAATTTATATGAACTAATCTATGTGTTCAGATGCCTCGCTTGCATATTTTTCACTGGATAAAACACAGTGACATCATAATTTGATACTACTTTAGCAATATAATTTTCTGCACAAATCCCATTTAGGGATCAAGTTTGTAATTTGGGCATTCTTCTGGACCTGGCATTTACTTGGGATTCCCAGACCACAGCCATGTTTCACATTTGTATTTAAACTTTCCAGTGAAGCAAATTGGACTTAAAATAACCTTACACTCACTGGATTGTAACCACTGCATTTTAAGGAAATCTACTTTTTGATATTAAAATTTTGTCCACTGTATCAGCAGAAACAAATCGATACGGAGACTCACCTGACATTGTTTGTTCAAGTCTGTGGATCAATGATTTTTTAGCACATTCAATATCTGGTGTCGGATAATCCAGTATTTGCCTGCACCAAACCAGTGGACTAATAGATTTTTGCACTGGGGTCACTTTCTTTTTTGGTGACGTATACAACCTAATGAAGATGAAAACATAATTAACATTAAATGAAGTTGTATAAATGAATTAAAATCTTGGAGGTAAAATCATTTTTAATAGACTACAGGTCAAATCTTCCACTTTTTGAAGCAAGCACTGTTAGTAATGTTAAAAATAAGTTAACAACTAAATATCCAAGGACATGCCTCATTATTATTGTATGGTAACAGTGCATCAAATTGTAACACATTATTTCTGCTCTTTTGGAATAATAGTATTAGATGGAAACAGCAAATTGCCAAAAAGGGGGCGGCGAGGGTTAGTTTAAAGCAAAAAAATATATGCTTGAAGCTATATCCCCCACCAAACAAAAAATAAAAAAATCATGTATCATACCACCATCCTCATTCAAAATTGGCCACACTGATGCACCAAGCTTCTACTTTAATACATCACCAAGTAAATGCTAGACCTGAATCCCAGTAGTTCCCATCCCACTGCCTATATAGAGCATCATTAGTTGCGTAGCAGAGGGTGCACATGTACAGACAGCAGATTTACAGTACAGTCCTATCCACTGTTATGCAATGACTCCATAAGGTGCTAGTGTACTGTTCAAAGTATTCCGCAGGTAATATATTTCACGATCAAAGAAATTCCATCAAAAGTTAATTATTCTAGTGATGTGAAGAAAATATTGTGTTGCCAAAATAAAAGAAGCACAGTCCCTATTATTCCTCTTATATGAAGGAGATAGCATTCATCTACCAAAGCTATACTATGTGCTAGACTGAGCCACCCTACATAAAAACACTTCACTGTATGTAACACAATATCCAGAGCTGAGTGGCCCTAGAAAGTACTGCACTCATATAATTCTGAATTTCGTGTACCTTTCATTAGTTAGGTAATGTAGGTAAGTCTTGTTGCTTTTGGACTGAAAGAGATTCAGAACAAAACTGCATATTAAGAGGATCTCTGCACACTTTTAAGTTGTGACTTCCAGATGCTGATGCAGAAATGAAGCACAGAAACTACAGAGTTCTTCCAGTTTCAAACTTTTAATCTGAATGTTTCTTTGAAAGCAGATTAATCCACAGAAAGTTTTATATAAAATGCCATGTAATAGAGACTTTTATATCCCAGGAATGAATGCAGAAACACATGCTACAGATGTTTGTTAAGTGCCGGCAAGCTGAAATCAGCTTACGGAAACCCTAATAGGGCCTTCAATGTAATTGAGACAATTCCCCACTAACACAGCATCAAGGTAACAACCTGTCTACTAGTTCTCACTTCAGACTCATTAGATTTATTAAACAGACCCCTTAAGGTATTTTTTCTTTTTCTGCTGTTTTTATCGCTGCCAATAGCTGGATAGCATCAAAAAAAGAGACAAAGTGCAAAAGTACTGGACAAAGGTGGCTCATTTTGGCTGCTCCCTTAGCATTCCTCCCATAAAAACCTACCCCTCCAGACAAAACAGAGGTGCTCCTGGCCAGTTGCAGCACTCTCTTTGAAAACACAGTTGTGCAGCCTGTGGGTGTTTCTGGATTCATCAGAACCTGGATGCCCAGGTTTCAGCAGTGGCCAACAATGCCTTTGCACAATTAAAACTAGTGATCTGGCCACAGTGATACATGCCTTAGTTACATCCTGACTGGCTTACTGTACTATGCTCTACATGGGGTTGCCCTTTGTAAAGTTTTAGAAACTTCAATGGGTCTGAAACACAGCAGCCAGATTTCTAACTGAGGCTGATGACAAGGATCAGATACTGACCTCCACCCCAGTTATAGCAGCTCCACTGGCTGCCGATCCATTTCTGGGCACAATTCGAAGTGCCGTTTTTCACCTACAAAGCCCTCAATAGCTTGGCTCCAAGCTACATTAAAGACTTTATGAGCCTGCCCTGGATATAAGATCATCAGGGGAGGCCTTTCTCTCAGTTTCACCAACCTCTCGAGTGTGCTCAGGGACACGGGAGGGCCTTGCCTGTTGCTACTCCCAGACTCTGGAACCCCCTCCCATTGGACGCCAGCCTAGCCCCATCTTTGCTGTCCTTCTAAAAGCAGATGAAGACTATTTTCTTTAGGCAGTATTTCCCTTGGTGACTGGCTGTCTAAGAGGGGTTTTAAAATCAGAATAGTTAGTAGTTTAATCTGTTTTAATAATGCTTTTATCTAACATTTTAAATACAATATTTAATTTTGTTTTAATATTTGAATAATTTATTTTTCAGCTATGTTTTTTAATACTGGAAACCACCTTGAGTCCTTTTATGGTGAAAGGTGGAATAAATATACAGTATTTTCAATAAATAGAGGGGACCTCAGGCTTGGAATTCTGTGAAATGCCAGGTTGATACAAAATAAATCTGAACTAATATTAGATCTGGTAGAAGATGAAAAGGCTGACTTGTCATGTATAACTGAATCTGAGTGCGAGAGGAAGAGGGAGTCGTCTTTTTTCCAGTTATGCCCCCCAGAATATCTGATCCAGCTTCATGGCTGGTCAAAGGGGTGAGGCGGGGGTGTTGTCATAGACTATAGGAACTGCATTAATATCAGCAGGATCTCTGTTGTGTTGGGCATGGGTCTGGATCATTAGGACAGAATGGGACTGATGATGTTGTACTGCACTCTCTGCGACCCAACACATTCCCTACCTGAACAGGAGGGACACATTTCTGCTGCTGTGTTGAAATCCCCTAGACTTTGCTTCTGGGTGACCTCAACATACAGTACATGCAGAGATGCAGTTGACCAGAGCAGGTCTAAAAATCACAGTTGCCATGGGTCTGTCACAACATATCAGGGGACCTAAGCAAGTCACAGGTCATACCCTCAATCTGGTATTCATGTCAGGATAGAGAGAGGATAATCTGAAAGTGAGGATAATCTGAAAGAACCTTGAGTCATCCCTCTTGTTATAGCCAGATCACCTGCTGAGATCTGGACTTTGCACAACTACACTTCTCTGCAATGAGGCACCTGATACTATGGTCTGCCCCTGAAGACTGATAGAACCAACTGGTTTCCAAAATGTCTTAAGGGGTTTTCTTTTATGAAGAGCCCAGCCTTCTCTGTGGTTTATGGAGGTGTTAAGGAAATTATTGTGTAATGGGCTACACACTTCATTGATGTGTCTCTATGGGAGGTAATTTAGCTTCTCATTTAAAGGAAACGATTATAAGGCCTATTCCAATGAAACTAAATTTAACAATGGATTATCTTAATAACTATAGGCCTGTTGTCAACATTCCATTCCTGACCAAGTTGATTAAGAGGGTGGTGGCTGATCAGCTGAAGGTGTTCTTGGAGGAAACAGATGTCTGGAGTTTGTTGTCATCAATACTCAGTTGACACATAGCTCTCTCTCTCCTTTTCTTCACCTACAGATGATGATGTGCAGGATGCCTGGTGTCAATAACAGACTATACAAAGGCCAAAAAATAGAAACTGATGTTCTCAAAGGCTTTCATGGCCAGGATCCAATGATCGTTGTGGGTTTTTCGAGCTGTTTGGCCTCCAGAACACAGCCAAACAGCCCAAAAAATCCACAACAACCAATAGAAACTGAATCCAGAGAAGACGGATTGGGAAGATTATTGGATGGGCTAGAGGGTTATTTATCAGGCCGTGATGGGTTTACACACACCATGAAAGATTGGGTTTGTAGCTTGGGGGGGGGTATTCCTGGACCCAGCTCTCTCAAAAGAGATGCAAATATCTACTGTAACCAAGAGTGTCTATTATCAACTCTGGCTGATTGCCCAGTTGCATTCCTACCTGAAGAAGAAATGCCTAACAACAGTGCTTCATGCATTGGTAACCTCTAAAACAGCCTACTATGATGCTCTCTAAATATGGCTTCCCTTTTATGACTTCCATACTGAAGCCAGTAAGCAGGTCCAGACTTATTACAGGCACTAGCAGATATGAATACGTATCTCATGTCTTGGCAGTCCTTTACTTAAGTTTCTGTGCTCAATTCAAGGGGATGGTCATGACCTATAAATGGTTTAGGATCTCAATATTTTTTGTAACATCTCTCCCACAAAATAGCTACCAGTCTCACCTGTTCCTTGTAGTCCTTAATGTTAAAATTTGTGACACCCAAGGAGGCCAAAAGAGCCAACACCAGGATCTGACCATTCTTGGTTGTGGCCCTTTTCCTCTGGAATAAGCTTCCTACAGAGGTTCACCAGGTGCCATCCGTCTCAGTTTTTAGGAAGTTGGAATGATATAAAACTGCCTTCTACTAGTGTTGAACTATAAACCTGAGTTTAAACAGGTTTAATATGTGCAATTCTAAAGGTAGGTTTACTGGTTTAGCTAGCAACAGGGGTTTCATTGTATTTTTATTGTATTTACTGTACACTGTGTTTTTATCGTATGTTGTGAACCACCCAGAGAATATTCATACTAATTAATTAATTAATTAATTTAAAAAGTGGATTTACCACTTCTGTTCCCCACCCCATGATTTTCCATGAAGTGAAGATTCAAACCCAGGTCCCCTGAGTCCTATTTCATCACTATACCAGTGGTTCCCAACTTTTCTGCATCGCAACCACCTTTTATAATAGCCAAGTAACCTGCAACACGCCACCATTACATTTGCATAAAAAGGCATTTTTAATGGGGTAAAGTCATCCCTTTTCAGAAAGTAGAAGCTTCTTTCTTCCCCCCCCCCTTCCAGGGCCTGTTTCTCATACATACACATACATGCTAACTTTAATATCCTACTCTGAAAGGTCAAGGAAGAAATTATTTAACAAGGGCTACAACACATATAAGGTGACCCATGACCTCCCAGAACACACTTTGCAACCCTCTTGAGAGTTGCAACCCCCAGGTTGGAAAACACTGTTCTATATACTACATTGCTCTGGGTACGTAGTATATTAGACTTTTCATATATACACATAAACATATTGGAACAACAATAAAATAATATAAAGGTTCTATTTAATATGAAATTCATAATCATATAAGGAACTAAATTACAACACAGAATAAAGTTTTGTTTGTC